AGATTTCGTTCCGCTTCATTGATTTTTGACGGAATTAGGACCTTTTAAATTTTTAAGGGTTTTCCGCAATTTTCTTCTAAACGCTTTCAGATTACGAGCTGATTTTTGGTATGTGACGTTACCTCGATGACTTATAGATCAAGTTCGCATTTCGTTCCGCTTCATTGATTTTTGACGGAATTATGGCATTTTCAATTTTTAACGGGAACCAGATTATACTTGTCGGTAGGGGACTAGTATTGCTAATGCAATACTCTCAGAATGCTTGTTTATAAAGCAAATGAATATTCTAATATCACTTGCATATGGTGTTTATGTCTCCCAACTGTTCGATCTCAGAGCTGAGTATATCAACTTTTAAACTGAGGAACAATAACAGATAAATATGTTTACAGATAAATAACTTACAAATATGTTTATGTTGCATGGCTTTCAACAATCATACTTAAAGTCAGGATTTTTTCCCGATTTTGTCGAAACTTTGGTCCTTTTAATGACCTTTTTGCAAATAAAACCTTGTATCGGGTATTTCGACTCACATGCTTCATACCAATTGTAAGGCTATTGTTTTATACCAATTTTGACTAAGGACTATTTTGTTTACCTGATCAATACAGAGGGCTCAGAGGTGATGTAACCGGTCGACAGGGGATGCTAAATCCTCCCTGGCATCTGATCCCACCTCTGTATTTTTGCCCTGATCACAATCCGTATTGTTTAAAGTATTAATGTGATTGATCACCTATCGTTATCTTCACCTTTTTTCATGAATCGTATGAAAAAATTATGTAACGTGTAACACTGCTTTGTGACAATTGTCTGCACCTCATGTTAAATTTGACATCATGCACTACAAATATGCTTAAATTTATACTCTAACGGTTAATTTTCATTTATTTCTTAATTGAAATCTTAACATTTCACCTTAAACTAGTTAAGATCTACAAGAAATGATTTCATTTCAAACTCAAAACGACATTTTTCATTTGAAGCGACTCAGTGAGCACTGTGGTTCATTGCCTTTTGATATGTGCTTTTTAGGCAACCTGAGTCACTAGACCTACTGCTATCTGTACTCGTCCGTTGTCGTATGTCGACATTTGTCCCTTAACATTTGAACATTTTAGCTTTTTCTATGAAATGACTGAGTCAAATCCAACCAATTTGGTTATGTAGCATCTATTGGCAAAGGGGAATCAAATCAGGAATTCCATGGTCTCTTACTCCTTGGGGCATGAGAGATGGGACTAAAACCATCAAAAACAATGCATTCTAAAAATATATATATATATTTTTCTTTACTATTGTATATAAAGCAGTCAAACTGTTGGTATAATTATAATAAGCAATGAGTCCTCTACCGAAATTGTGAAATTCATTGCCCCTTTGCTCAGTGTTCGGGTTCCAAGATGGGGCCAAGTTTGTCATATATTGAAAATGCATTATATCTTATAAAATCTTCTTCATTTAGCAAGCGAACAGTTGGCATAATTATAACAGACATAAATAAAAGAGATTTGCAACTGTTCAAAATCTCTTGATTTCTCGTGGGCCTTGATCTCTTTTTTTTTTAATCTTGAACCGTCAAAATCACATAAATCTTTAAATTTATAAAAGATAACAAAGTAGAATTTTTTTATTCAAATCAACAAATTATTCAGAATGTTCGTAGTTTTTTTCCATACAGTAGCATATGAGAACTTTGAAATATCAACATGTGACCCGTGGTCGGGCATATCTTTCAGATTTCGCTTCCGATCATTGACCTCTTTAATTTGCTCCTAGTTTCCTTTAAATAATCAATATATAGTTTTGGTTCTTTACAAATCATACGCCCACATATGATATAATAATAAAATTAATTTTACTTTAGATCGAAATATACAAACAATAAAGAGCAGTTTATGTTTTCATGTCTCCTGGTTCCATGTATATATAGACCTCAATTGGTCATATATTGAAAATTCTCTGGAAAAACTTCCTCTTCCCTCATGGACATCTAGCAGACAAACTGTTTACATGATTAATATAGTTAAATATTAAATTCTTTACCATAAATGTGATATTTATCCCCACGTGGGCTCGTGGTTCAGGTCCCAGGATGGGGCTAAGTTGGTTATACATTGAAAACTATATTACATCTTTGAAAATCTTTTTCTTTGCTCATCGACATCTAAAGGCAAACTGTTGGCATGACTACAATTAATACTTAACCAATTACCAATATTTTGAAAATTAAATCTCCTTGTTTACTTATGGTTACCTGGCAGACAAACTGTTTGAAGATAATAATTAACACTAAGCCCACTGTCAAATTTGTAAAAATCCATGGTTCTCCGGCCCATAGTTCAGGCCCCTGGGTGGAACTAAGCTGGTCGTATATTGAAAAATGCAACTTTGAAAATCTTTTGTAAGCTGAAACATGTATCAGGCAAACTATTTGCATAATTACAATGAGTATTTAACCCTTTACCAAAAGTATAAAATTGGTGCCTCCTGGGTCCGACATTCAGGCCTCAAGATGGGGCAACGTTAGACATATATTGAAAATACATTAAACCATTGCAAATCTCCTTATTTACTCATGGTCACCTAGCAGATAAACTGTTTTGAAGATAATAATTAACGCGTGCTAAGTTCTCTATCAAATTTGTAAAATTCATGGCACCCTGTCCAATGGTTCAGGCCCAAGGATTGGTCTTAGTTGGTCATATACATGTACATGTATTGAAATTAAATTTCCTCATATTAAAATCTTCTTAATCAATCGTAGACATGAAGCAGCAATTTGTATCCATGATTATAATAAACATCTAACCCTCTATAAAAAATTATCCAATTCTTGTTTCCTGGTTCCAGTGATCAGGCCCTTGTTGGGTCTAAGTTGGTCATACATTGAAATTTATTACAATCTCCCTTATCTTCTTTACATCTGAATTTGTAGGAAAGTAGCAGCATTGATATGGTAATGACCACAGAGTCCTCGCCAAACATGAAAAGTTTTGTCACACAAGTCCTTATCAGTTCCAGTTAGGTCCAAAAAAACTCACATGATACTCAGGTGACCGCCAAGTCCCATGGGCCTCTTGGTTTTCTTGCTCTATTCAGAATATAATGCCCCCTTATGCATTGCCAAAAACATATCGTTACCTAAGATAATGGACAAAACGTAAGTATAATTGTATCTATGCCTTTATTTCTTATCTACCTCATTTATTTTTTCCCTATCAATAATCACAGGTTTTGATTTAAAAATACAGGTACTAGCTAAACAATATTTGTCGAGTTCCCAAAGCGTTTTTGTCTCATTAAAATTTATCATTATTATTTTGGATAATTTGTTGAACTATCAGGGTTCTTTAACTGTGCCTGGTAAGACGAGGAAATATAGACTATTATTTAGGGGAAATTAGTGGTTTGTTATCGAAATTTTAGGAAAAGAAGAGATTATGAACCTGTTTGCTAGACATAACATCGTTGTTCAAGTATTCGTTTTTATCAAGCGATCAAATCTCCTCTATAATTAATGCTTCATCACAAACAGAAGTGGGTTAAGAAAGAGTTGTAAAAAAAGTTCCTCATAAACATGCGGAAGTGATTTCTATATGTCAGGGCTCGCACTACGTGTAGACTGCTTAATTAATTACTCAATAGACGGGGAGCGGAAAAACCGAGAAACTAAGGCAACGAAGGGTTAAGTCAAGGTCACAGAGTATGATGGGTAGCAAGCATAATGTGGTTGTCTGACATTTTTCAAACGCTCAGAAACTGTTATTTTCTGGAAAAGTGGGCTTGTCACTTTCCACTCGTATATATACCTTGTTCAGACTGACACACATGAAACAATAACGGTGCATTGTCTTCTGATCATTCGTTTAGAAAGTTATGAATTATGTTATTATTACCCAAAGTTGGAATATCGCAAGTGACCGTATAGATAATCAGATAATCCTTTCGTTGTTGTTCTGTTTTCTTTTGTCTCTGATCCCCTTTCAGAGGTTATGCCGTGTGACATGAACCCTTCGTCAAATAGATTATGTATCTGATCATTGAAATAGCCCCACATTGTAAATGACTTACAACAACAAATGTCCACTCTATTTGTGATATTATCATTAGTATTTAATTTAAAAAAAAATATTTAAAGCCAGTGGATTGTGAATCGAAACAAAAGCGATTTCCTGTTTTGGCACAATTTAGAACTACTGCTATAAACCTTTCGATACTGGAGTACGGCTGAGGTCACGTGAATATAAAGCAACAGGATACAATTTACGGCAATAGATACTCGTTTTAAAAATCTGTTAACAATTAAACATTTACAAACGGAATACGATAATCTCCTGGCTCGTCGACTATAGGGTTAACCAAGGAGGTGAGTAACGTTAGGTAAACCCCCCAGTCTTATAATCAGGAATACGTCAGTTCTTACCTAGGCTTAGAAAGTAGATTTTAGAACTGATTTTTGTAGAAAAAAAAAATGTAGTCGATAATAAAAGGAAAGTGTTTTTGTCATAGGATCTGTCAATCAAGTTAAAGGCATGCCCTCCGCTATTTAGGGAAATATTTTTGTCATATCTTCCGGAGCTAACAATGTTACACTTTGTATCCGGATATTAAATTCGGTTTGTGATTTCACTCCTATTCAAAGGTTAGTAATAATGTACATATCACTAGGTGTATTTGTAACAGTATCGGTTGACAGTAATCAAACTTAAGTTATTTCATTACATTAATTCACCTTCCTTAAATTAATCTTGAGCTGGAGGCAGTCGCTCTGTGTAATAAGCTTAAACATTATTTCATCGTATTCAAACTACTCAAATCTAGCCAAATTACGTATGATACGCCTTTGTAAATTTAAGTGAAGCTAAGATCACTAATCGGAATAAATCTACTTTATGCTATTTAGTAAGCAAAGCTTGCAAACTGCAAATAGAGCGCATCAAGACAAAATTTGCTCGATAATCCCAGTTTTTTTTCTAGTTTTAAGGTCATATCATTCGTTTAGCGTCCTGAGATTAACGTTTACTTCTGGGCTTGGAATCGATTCATCTCAATAACATCATAATTCGATAACGTGAAGAGTCATCCAGTTAAACGCAGTTAAGATGTGTGCCTCATCACAATTTATTCTCTATAACATCGAGATAACATGATTAGTGTGAGAGAATAGACAAAATAAAAAGAAACCCATAGCTGTGATCTCTTTAAATGCATTGTGTACACTGAGACGTTCACACATGCAGTGGCGGGACATAGCGCGCGACATCGATAGTAACAGAAGCGATTGTGAGCACGTGCTTCGCTTCCTCTATCCGCTTGTACTGTAACACGTGGCCCATAATATCGTAAGACAGAGATTCGTTGACTTTGAAATCGCTGGAGTAGAACGGGAAACTGCGGGTTTTCTTGTCATCTATAGCCTTCACTGGCTTGAGTGAGTACGACTGAATGTTTATGTTACAATGATAACAACTGATGGCTTCGACAACTGATTTGGCGGTTTATGGCATGCTTTACAAGTAACCGCTGTAACGGGTGTTTATTTTACGACAAACAAAAACGTCAAGCTTGTGTAATTTTTTGGGACTTGGTCATTAAAAATCAGACTGCCTCGATTCACTGACAGCACAGTGCAGAACGCACTGAAGTGAGATTTTGTTGGATCATCCGAAACGTAAGGCGTCTTCTTTTGTTACAGTGGGCAGATTTTGTGCTTGTGCAAAATAACAATCTAAGTACAAAGGAATTAATGTTTCTTATATTGTTAGCAACTAGGTAAGTAATCTGAAGTGCTGAAAATATGTTTTCACAACAAAATAATCCTTTATAAACATCAAATTAATATTTTGTATTGCTTTTTAAAAATTGAAGTTAATTGAATAAAGAGGTATCTGAACACACGGGCAATGACATGTGACGCAGGAACAAAGCAGCGAGAAGAAAATGTACACAATGCAGAATCACTGCTTATAACTGATTTACTGTAGTGATTCGCATACCCGTCTTAGTCATTATACACACACTGCACGTGCATTAGATTATATTGTATACATAAATAGCAAGCATGAAAACATCCCACGTACAATGCAGAACAATCAGTGAAGTGTACTTTCTAATGTATCTAATAAAATTGCCTGACGAACAGTTTTTAAGGGCGAAATCCACGTTTAAATCACTGCGGGTCTTCTAATTTTTATTAAAGATTTGTCTTTTTGATTGTGTCTGCATTTCAAAAGTTTTGAAATACTTTTTGGTATTTCAAGGACTTAGTTATTTAATTTGATTGTCATTTGAATCCCCTGCAGAGAAGTGAATCTTACAAACATACGGTAGGACATTTGCTGACATTAGCTATCTCTCCGGATGGCTCGACGTGAACTAAGCTGTTTGTCTCATTTACGCTTTATCTCGGACTAAAAACCGATGTTACTGACTCTTTTAATTGAAATTCGATTCCTATCCCCGAAGACTCAAACAGAAGGTCAAGGTTGGTCGTCTCTAAGATTGATTAACATAAAAAGGGTTAACTTTAATCTCACTTTGCATTTTTGACACTCCTTTTACCTTTACAATAAAAGAAGTTAAACCTAATCTAGAATCCGTGTTTCCGCTTGTTACAGTTGTATCGCTGTTGAAACTATTTACAAGTCATTAAATCTCTGTGAATTCGAGAGGCGTTTCAAAAATGAAACAGTAAAATATTATTTTTAAACATGACAATGGTTAAAAAGAGATTAACTCTATTAAACTAGCATCTGTTGATTTGCCGTGGTATTTGTTGCCACTATAATTTTATTTGTCTTTTGTAGAGTTAAAGAAAGAAAAGTTCAGCGCTTATGAGGAGAAAAAAACAACGAGTTGTTACAGCATGGAGTTTCCGGATTTTACCTAAAATGATAACACCTTAAACGATCAATTTCTTTGCTGAAATTTGCATCTAATGAATAGTCGTGTGATTGGATACAGTGAGTTGTGGAGAAACCTTTGATAGATAGAAGTTGATAGCGGTCCATTACTGTCAACCCATGCTCTACTGCTAGATACCGTTCTTGATAGAGTGTTCCATTGGACCGCGGGTGGTATGCTGCAACGATTGAAATGGCTATTTATCGCATTCATATGGATTTTACAAGTAAAAGAAATGTTTATAAACGGTTTGCCTGTAAATGGGACATTTTCATCTAGTATTTCAACAAACAACTCAGCTGATTCCTTGAATACTTCGCTTAACACTCGAGCAAACCAATCCGAAAGCTTGTCAAATAGAACCACTGTGCTGGATTCTTTTCAAATAAATACGTGGTATCAGTCCAGAAAAGAACATCAAGCCCTCGGTGTGAATTTAGTGTTGTTACCTGTTGGTGCATTAGTCTGTTTTCTTGTTATGATATCGTTGCGCTTCTGCACTTGGCAGAGAGAGGATCAAAAGTTTAAAGAGCGAGGATGTAGTTATGATGTCACCAATTACGTTATTTTAATTCAAGGTGATGCAGACTACAGCGATGTCGATATACGATCAGAGACGCTATCTAACTATGACACAGTGAATTCTTATGTCTCTGGTGTACCCAAAAGCCCTTGGCGTGCTCATTCAGCAATGCCATCCTATGTTTCTCTCCAAAGTCGCATTGACTCCCAAATGTACGATACTGTAACATCATATCGATCATACCTTCAAAGTCCTCATGGCAGAAAGGCATTTAATTTTGATAAAAAGGACATTATAGAAAACGATAAGATAGTTAATAGTAAACAAACTCCACAGAGACCTCGAAAAATACCCGGTACTCGATTTTCAATCGTCCCGGCACTAGACAATTATATGAGATTAAAGAGTTTGAATAAATCCCCATCACAGCCTGCATCCCCCAAACTACTTCGCATGGCCTCAGAATCACCAGACACTCTGTCATCAAATGAATCAGAAATCGGTGCAATGCCTCGAAGAAACAAAAAAAGCCGCGTTTCTTTCACAGAGAAAAGTAAAGATTGTGGACAGAATCGGCGACCAAGAAAATGCAAAATGGTCGACGCACAAACTCAAGTAGGTTTTCGGCGAAGTAAAAGGGCTTCTCAGAAATCAAATTCCACCACAAGCTCTTCCACGGCTTCAGAGACTGTTGATTATGTCAATAATGGAGGGGAAACTAAGGAAAAAAGCACAAGTGTGAGCCAAGAAAGTGTGCTGCAAAGTTTGAACAGTGATTTCAATCTTGCTAACAATATTAAAGTCAAAGCAGAAGTATATAACGTTCAGAAATTCTGCAGTAAGCATAAAGTATGCGATTCAAGTTGTGATCAGACTGTTGAAGGCAATAGAAACCTTCAAAACTGCTATTTAACAAGCCAAAATGATAAACACTCAGCTGTGAAAGGAGTGAGCGAAGCTACTCAGTTTGATTTTGTCTCCGAAAGAATTCCTCTCTCTGTACCTGTATCAAATGACTATACAGAGATTCAAATTAACATAACTGAGAATCCGTATGGGAATGTCACTCCTCCCAAAGAGCAGACGACAACCTCAATGACGTCATCTCTCTTATGCTGCCCTAGCATTCCGCCCAAAACCAAATCCGAAACAGACTTGTTTAAAAACAACAACAACAATTCATCCATGGAAAATCTATGTAGAAGAAAGAGTTGCGACATAATCCAAAAGTCGCGAGGTAAAAACGCAAAAATTTCCCCAATAGGTATTCACAAGACCAGATGTTTCTGTGATAATAAGAGAAAATTTTCACTAGGTGCCATATCAAACGATACCAATTCCGTATTCAAGTCTAAGAATATAGGAACTTCTTTGTCCTCCCTAAAGGATGTTTTGAACATAAGAAAAAAGAATTGCGAACAGAATGGTAATTTGATGCAAAAGTCTGAAAGTCGTACTAATGTGGAAACCGTTTGAATGTTTTCAGGATTTTTTTTTTACATATTTGATATAATATTGTAAAGTGTAATTTATTTTTAGCAAAACACTAAACGAATTTTTCAGTCTTTGTACTTGTATGCTAGATAACGCCCATTTTCCTATGAATTTATTACCCGAAAACCTCGCACAGTACCTAGATAGCATAAAATCTTGGACGATAAAACTGTACAGCCCAGAACTGATTACTGTGTTTGTACTTGTATGGTTCTTGTACCTATAACAGAATCACTCTACAATACTGGGCCCTCTGGCTGTGTATGCACGATATAGATCCCTAAAAGTACTCTTGTTTGAATCTTAATCTCAGGAGTCAGATCAATTTATTGAGCTATATAGAACACAGTGCACACTCTTTTTTATTATTGAATGTCATTCTGTAGCATTTGTTAACAGGCATTGTTAATTTTAACGCGCACACCTACATGTACAGTTTAAGAAAATCTTTTGATCGAAATTTGGGTCGCGAAGAATTGATGGGGCGTGATAACTTTCGACTGTTAATTTATAACTTTATTATCATGGGTTCAGTATCCTTCTGTGTAATTTTTTTTTCTCCGTCAATTTCAATTCTTTTATTTGGTAATAATCTTAAAGGGTTTATTCAGACGCTTTCCGCTATTGAGCGACACAGATAGTTGAACCAATACCACATAACCTGGGACCGATTATTGTCCCCCAGTCTGTGTTATCAAACTTTTTTCCTGCTAAACCCTCTTTCTTGCTTAAAAAAAAATAAAATAAAGGTGTATCTTTTCACGGAAATAGAAAGCACTAACCAAAAACATCAAAGTCATGCATACTTTACACAAGCCAATGGTGCAAAAAATAGACCCATGTTTTTCAGAAGTCAATGATGATAATTGTAAATATATATCTGAAATTATTTTGGGGAGAAATCGGAAGTAGTTTAAGTTAATTCACATTTGGATCCTAAGTATAAACAAAAACTACTCGGGATTGTTCTTTTTACACCCCCACTTTTACAATTGGCAACAACAATGGATGGTATTTTTACGTGAAAACATCTTTGTAGCTCTAGAACAAATCCACTAGACGTAAATAAATTGAAGGAGTATTGCAAATCATCCAAAAGAAAGAAAATGCACTTTACATGATCTCGACATTATGAAGACTGTATATTGTCCCGTGTATAGATAACGGGGAAAAATGCTTCTATTCATTACAGAAAAGAATTTCTTGCTTGAACGACCAGGAAACTCCAAATTGTGAATGTTTTATCTTTTTTCAGTCCTTTGATACCTTGACGTTCCTGTTTCGAATAGTTTTGAAATTTTAAAATATTTGAGTTACGTTACGAAATGTATGTTTTGGTATGTATGTAGCAGTCCTTTCATTTGCCCCTTAGACACTAAATTCGATACCGTTTATATTTTTTATAATTATCCAGATGGCAATGGCATAGTACGTGTAATGTCAAGTATTTTATTTTTTTCCCTCAAAGATTTATTCTGTTGTTTTATTTTGTTAACTAAAGATTGCACTGATGGTAAGTAGGACTTAGCTTTGTTTGAAACGTTTTAATATATTTGTTGTTTTAATGATAAGATTTAATGCCATATGAGAAAAGATGGACTAGCAAGAGTACAAGTAATTTTTTTTTCTTAATTAGTTTTACCTCATGAATGTATTAACCAATTTTGTGTTCAATTTCAATGTGAAACATTTACATGACTACAAAATACACAGTTATTTATTTCATATATTTGGAGCATTGTCTTTGTGATCCTTTTCTAACTTGTCCATACAAGCACAGAATTATTTTTACCTCTGTGCTTATTTGAAAATTAATTGGGATTGTATGATGCATTTTGCAATTTTGTTGACTTGATGAATAAAATTATTTTTGTACAGATTTCTTTTTCCTTATTCAGCACCTGATCAATGTTAAATACATTTGCCGTCGTTATGCCTACAAGGACGTTGTATGCATGTCATATTACGAGAGTTGTAAATTGAAATATTGATAGAAACCTCAAGACGATAATAACCTAGGCAGAAAACTGCAATAACCCAGTTTTACTTGAAATATTATCTTTTGCGGATCTTGTGATATTGTAGTGCTAAAGTGAAATTAGAAAGATGACAAGCAGCAATAGCAAAGCTGACGTGTGAAGTACAAGAACAAAATCTGTACCAGCAACGGATTAAATTGGTTAATGTGCAGCGAGATATTATTTATGACTGTCATATTGGTGATCCCAATTCGTTTGAATTCAACATATGTGTCATCTTTTGTGACATGACATGTGGAATAAATAAAAGATTACACAATACCATGAATGGTATTTGAAGTATACATTAGTACCATTTATTTTTATTCAACAACATTTGTTGTATGTTATGCATATTGGAGTGACAATAAAATATTTGGTAGAGCAGTGCAATTTCAAGATGTTTACTGCAAAGTCTTTCCAAATAAAATGTTAATCATTTCAGTTTTCAAAATACTTACAGAACGTTGACAGCTGTAAATATTGACTTTCTAACAATGTATACATAGCTTTGGATACCTCAGATACCAGTCATTTGAAACATGTTGCATTTGTCAACACTGGCTGTGTTTGATACAAGTTTTAATCGCCACAGATGTCATAATAGAAAACGACAGGAGCGTTCGATTCAACAACTGGATTATTACTTTTTTCCTCTCATTTTTTCCCCCTCTATTTTTAAAAACGTCGATTTTTTAATCCATGATGAGCTGTATAAGTAAAGATGGGGATTTTTTGTGATTAGATTATCATACTTAATAGATACTTGCCTTTATTGTTGCACATTATTGGACTTTAAATTCAAAACATTGAGAGAAAAATTTTGCTGTAGGTACCTGTCATAAGTATATGTTGTTCTCCTCATCCCATAATTTTCAAATGAAGTGAAGAAAACTTGTATATTTCATTGAAATTTTATAAAGAATTTTCCCGGTGGTGTTCAACAAACATGTGAATCTGGTCAAATTGCTTATCGACATTTAACTTGTTTTCATTTTCTTAAGTTGAATTATTGGCGAAAACATATCGCAAAGAAAAAAAATCTAATTAGCACTGTCTACTTTAGGTGCCAAAGATGGGAGAAATACATTTATTATGCTTACAAAAATAACATCTTTGTGCTGCTTTATTTATCCCTATAATTACATAAAAATAGAGTGAAGGATGGCCTTTTTTCTAACACGTTGACCTGAAAAGAAATAGAAATTAGAAATAGAACACCGCCATATCATCTTCTCAGGTTTTACATATGAAAGATTTTCTGCAGTATTATTGCAAACAATTAGATAGAGAATATTCGTCATTTGAATTAAAGATTCCAGTTGAAAGCAATAGATTTTGATTGACTGAGAGCATGCCAGTAAAAAGGTAATGATAATCAGAAAATAATCCTTTCCTTGAATTTAGAAATCCCTCAAATATATAATGTTTAAACAGACAGTCCCAATCCAGAAAACAAACAATCAGCCATGTTCTATTTGGTTTCTTTTTATATGTGGAATATTTGTGTTGTTGTATTCATCAGGTTGACTAAGAATCTTTAGAAGAGTCCCAGTATATTTATCTTGTAACGCACATTGACATATTTCATCCTAACTGTTTGATCTGCATAACATTTTAGCCAAGTTTTTATCAAACGCTGAAGTGATGAATTGCGTAACAATACAAACGTTATCCATATAATAGAATTATGACACACATCAAAGCATACCATAAGATTATATTGAGCTTTCGTATATTTCTTTGGTCTCACACTTTTTACAATAATTTGGCATTTTTCATGTATAAAAATTTTTCTTTACATGCATAATATACTCAGTTTTGTAGATGGACAATGTTCAAATATGTATTCTATTTCAAAGCTTGAAGAAACGAATCCAATGTGATATTTTCCTCTTGTTTATAACCAGCATGAATATTCAGTTTGATAATTATTTAAGATGAAAGAAGTTTTTATATCTAAGCCCTCTACCCATTGTTCATTTTTAAAATATGACTACTTGAATAGAATATGTTTTATATGACAGTTCAAAGTCCAGTTTTATAGAAAACACGAAATATAAAACCTATTAATTTCACAAAGTACGTAAACCTCAGGGTTTATTATCATCCACAGAAAATCTTTCTTCATTGATCTTACCGATAAAATTATGGTTAGCCAATTGAAATTCAGTCAAGACGATGAGGAAGACGGTGGTTTTAGTACAGGCGTACTGAAACGTGAACAACAGCACTGATCACATAGCCACTAAAGGAAGCTTCAAAATGCATCGTAGAAAGCTCAAGCAATAACTCTGGTATAGAGAAAATGTATTCACATTGTTATTTATATGTATCTGACAGGCCCGTATGAAGCAATTTTCATCTGGGGAGGGGGCTTTACCCAACCAAAAAATTCCTTGACAATCAAAAAAAAAAAATTCCAGAAGTTATTATTGAGGGGACACAGGCATAAAGTAGCTATGTTTTCTTTAGTATACTATATATATCGGCAAAATTATTAGGATGGGGGCGTTGCCGCCGCCCCTCTCCCCCTGTTCCAAGGGTCATAGTTGATAACGATCTTTAACACTTAACTTTCATATATAAAAGAAATCATTGTATAAAAATAATAAGACCCCAGGGTAATTTTGCTGCATTTAGTTGCGTACCACTCAGAGACAGGTATCGTAGGTAAATGTATTGTTTGAATTGTGTGCTCACCTAAACAATTTACTACCAAGTCATTAGAGGCCACCACAGGCTGTGCAGGTATCAGGAAAACACCGACTTAATTAAGGAAACCTTCTCTATTCAGTTCTGATGCTGTAAAAATATTTGACATCCAGATTAATTCTACGTGAGGTGCACAGTTTTATAATTACTAACCCGGCTAAGATTTGATGTAACATCAGCATATTTGATCAAACAAGTTTAGCCAATCGTTCAAATATTAGATAATCTTAAACTTGAATGTGCAATTCGTAGCACAGCGATACAGGATGTGAATTTACTCGGTATTATGTATTAAAATGGAATTCAATTTTATAAAAATGTAATCATAAAAAGCGAAACAGTCGGGTAAGTGACAACAATTCGTCAGAACTGTGTAACATGTGACCGCTTTTACATTTGTTTATCGCCAGGCTTGTTCTCGATGTGCAGGATGAATTTAAGTTAGTAGGCGTTGACAGAATAATTAATTATCTTAGAGTCATAACAGACAAAAAAAAACCATACATACAAAAAGAAAGAAAACAAACAATTTAACTGCATAAGTTACGGACTACATCACTTGAAAATCCAAAAACAGAAAGAGTTCATAATATAAAGATAACTTAAGGCTTAATTAGACCACACTTAAGTACAACCTGTGTCCAGACTTAAAGGTGTTTAAATGAAATATGAAAACATTCAAATTATTTTGATTTAATTCGTATGTATACCTCTGTACAATCAAAATAAGTAAAATTATCTCACTTAAATGGAAGGTGATTTAAGTGGTCAGAAATTATGAACATTGAGGTCAATAAATTGAAAACAATCAGTTGTCCATAAAGTTTAAGTAATTTACATGAATTCAAAGGTATTCAGTTAACATTTCAAAATTCAGACGTACTGTACTACAAATAATTCAAAGAGTGATGTAAATCAAATATGGATTCTCAAAAATTCCAAAGAACTTTTTAGAAAATTTGAAATCACAATCATTTTTTCTCTCCAGAATCAATTAGCATCAAAACTTATGACTTTTCAACACTGTATACAACCACTTCTCATTATACTGTGACCGGGTAATAGTTTGACTGTTTCATGATGTGCAAAAACATTATAATGATTCAGGAAACAGTTCAAAATGACTAATTACAATTTATATAATAGGTTAGGTAATAATAGGAAATAAAGACCACGGTTTTTGATATCATAAACAACTACTTCTTCAATAAAAATGGAACTTGGAAATTTCCATATCTTGTAATTAGTTCTCTAGAAATTTAATCAACCATCATTCTGATTCTATGCACAAGAATAGTTGATATTAAAAAAAATGTTAACGTTACTCATTGTACAATATCTATGTAATCTTTAGAGACAAGGTATTCCAACAATCTATAATTTCCATGGGCACTGATTTTGCTCCTTTATCAGCCGATCTGTTTTTATACTCATCCGAAGCAGAATTTATTCAAAGTCTACTACATGAGATAAAGAAAACTCTTGCTGCGGCCTTCATTTTGACAATTAGATACCAGTATATTGACGACATTTTATTAATTAACCATATTCATTTTTTATTCATTTCTCGATATACAAGAATAAAGGACACCAGAGTCTTCCAGATATTTGAATGTTTTACTGATTATTAAATACATGTATGGGAAAGTAACAATAAACCATATAACAAACGGTAAAGTAACAATAAACCATAGAACAAACGGTAAAGTAACAATAAACCATAGAACAAACGGTAAAGTAACAATAAACCATATAACAAACGGTAAAGTAACAATAAACCATATAACAAACGGTAAAGTAACAATAAACCATATAACAATCGGTAAAATAACAATAAACCATATAACAAACGGTAAAGTAACAATAAACCATATAACAAACGGTAAAATAACAATAAACCATATAACAATCGGTAAAATAACAATAAACCATATAACAATCGGTAAAGTAACAATAAAACATATAACAAACGGTAAAATAACAATTAAACAAATAACAAACGGTAAAGTAACAATAAAACATATAACAAACGGTAAAGTAACAATAAACCATATAACAACCGGGATGGCTTCAGCTTCTCCATCTTCTCAAGGGAAATGAATCAATGAATACATCTAACATACTATGTTTATCTTTATCACAAT